CGAAAACAGAAAAACTAAGCCATGCCACAGACTGCAACATTGTCGGAGAAACAAAATAGCCGCTCAGTTTCATTTTTCTCTTCATTGTTGACAGGATTAAAGTAAAAATATAAGTTCTGTTTCAATGTGCTACCGAAACGAAGAAAGTCAAATATTTTCGATTTGGTACTTTCTTATTTTTATGATAAAAATCAAAAAATCAAAAATTGACATCAATTCTCAATTATTGATTTTAAACGAAAATTGAATGGACGAATGACCCACGGACCATAAGGGTATTCTGAGGGCTGAGATATGTTGGCTTTCCCAAAACTCTAACCCTCAAACGTTTTTTTAACTCCTAACCAAGAATTAAGATTCGTTTTCTATCTCAACGTACATTTTCTACACGTAATCCCCTCAGGAGAATTTGGTTTGAAACCAGGATATATTTAGCAACATGGTTGGGTACTTCATTTGCTTGATTTTGTTTTCTAATTACGTCTCAAGAAGGTTGATATTGATTTCTTATAAGGGACCCCTGAATGGGACTACGAGTGTGAGATTAAGCATGAGTACGATTTTTAAACTTCCAACTGCTATCACCCGCTCTTTATGTTGGTTTTAAGAAGACAGGGTATCTCATGGGATGAGATGTTTATATGACGTGGTATGCTATTGATGCCAGGCCTCTGTTGAAATGGCTTTTTCTTCAAGCCCGTTTCACATACCGTTGGTTTCATTCACGTGATTAATAATAAAAGATCACGTGATGACAAACATATCTTGGCGCAGATGGCCACAGTTTTGAGCACGGCTGTTGCAAATTCCTCAAAAGTACCAAGTTTGAGACAAATCTTATCCATGCGAAGGATTTTGCACATAAAGCAATAAAGTTTGCTTTCGTTTACACATATTAACTGGCTGCCTGGCTCCGCTAGCCACTATGTTTATTACAGGCAGCTAGTACTCTAACTTTTACTTTTAATATTTTCATTGAACATTGTAACTTTTTAACGCAAGAGTGAGTACAATAAAGATTGAAATTGATTGACAACGTCCGATGTACATCGCCAACTTTCAACCTATTTAACGGTCGAATACCATGAATCTTTGACCATCTTTCGGCGCATATGATCACCACTCTATCTAAGTCAAAAACCGCTAAGTCATTTGTAGATAGTTGCTTGCTTTGCACTACACCAAAATATTAAGCCCCGGCCAAATGATCGCAACATATCAACATGCACAACATATCGAAACATTGTTGGCCCAGCAGTTGCAAGCTCCGGCCAAACAATCGCAACATTTCAGCGCAACATATTACTACATTTTTGGGCGCAAAATGTTGCGCACGTTTGGCCACCCTATGCTGGGTGTTTAAAATCGAACTAGTGCGCATGCCCGGGTGCAACATTGTTGCACGAGCCTAACGAAACGACTACAACATCATACAACATCCACAAATGTTGCATGAAAATTTTGACCGGTTTCAAATTTAAGCCAACAACACCCAACATATCGCAACAGGGTCGCCAAACTCATACAACAATGTTGCGATATGTTGCGTTGAAATGTTGCGATCGTTTGGCCAGGGCTTTACGTTTGATCTATTACTGCTTGAATCCTATTTGTTCGTCACGCAGTGCTGTCATCCCATTTTAGGGTGTAGGGGTAGGACAATTTCTATCCTGATACGTAAGGCTTGGAACCACAGGGAGCACACGATCTTATTTAGTAGGAAGGGATTAAAATTAAGAAATGAAAAGAATGAATAGTTTACCATTGTCCCCTAATGTCATCTCTCACTATACGCGACCTTCCAGGGAAAACCGCTTCCTATATGTCCTGCGTAATATTGTAACGTCAAACTCGTAGCTTGGTCTTTTCGCGCTGTGGAAAATTTTTTGGTTTACATATAATACAGTGGGCCCCTATTGTGCTTAATAGGGCTTGGCGGCTTAAATAGAGGTTGTTCTACCTTGAATAATTTTTCACTATCGGATTAATTTCTTAGTGAACATGGAGTCAATTCAAGACAATCACGATAGACGCGTGTTTGAATTATCACTCCTCATCTTCAATTTCAGACGCTTATCTGCCATCGCCCTTGCCAAAACAAAGTTTTTTCAATTTTGGGTGGCCATTTAATAGTGGTAAAGACGATGGAAAAAACCCTTATCGCGACGACCGAAAGGTGCCCGCGGCCGCTTTATAGAGGTGGCCGGTTAATAGGGGTTTTATTTACAGTTTTACTGACAATAATTTCGGGACTTTGATAACTGGCCGGGGCCGCTCAATAGAGATTTGGACTGTATTATATTGACAAGGACGGCGAGTGAGCCACTCCAGACATTTTGAACGCAATCCAAAAATTCGCCCAGACTCTAACGTTTACAGCTTCCACGAAACCAAACCACCACAAAACGAAGTCGTAAGATTTTCTTACAACTTGGCCGAACTTGTTTCGAGTACTTTTAAAACAGACGGAGAATTTTAGCTTCTTTTGCAAAGTTTTTTCTCAAATCGCTTTTGTAACATGATCGTACCGTTACCTAATCCCAAAGCGCGCACTCGAGCTCCCTCCCTCCCCCACAGATGCTTTTTTGACACGACAAATCTTCACAAACCCCTCCCCCAGTTCGCAGTTTTTCTGACGTGCCCGATGTCGCCCGATCTCCCCATGGAAACAAAATGTCGCAATTTAACGCCTGTAACGTTTTAGTGAGATTCCGCGATAACGACTGGGGGCTGGGGAAGGATTTTGTAAAGATTTGTCAAAAAAAAGAAAAAAANAGACAAACCATTCTGGTGAGATTGCACGATAACAGTTGGGAGCTGGGAACTTGATTTCGTAAAGATTTGTCATGTCAGACAACATGTGTGGGAGAGGGAAGAGAGCGCAAGCGCTCGCTGGATGACCCGTATGGTACCTGACCCAACTTGTACGAATGGACCAATTTTGCGTCAGATTACCTCTGACTCCTTCTTTCCCAACCCTCGTTCATCTTTGAACCACGCTTCTTTGCCTTTGCAATGGTCGTAAATTTCTTCCGGGACCCTGCACCTGGTGCTGAATCCCCGGGGGAAACTCTGACATAAAATTGACGGGGCTGCTCGTTGTAGCTTTTAGGGGTTAAAAATGCGACTTTGGTAGTTCTTAGGGTGTTTAGCGTCAAAAGGTCCACAGTGGGAGCTCTTGCAGTACCTTTCAGGGTATCGAGCCGAAAAAAGATCACTTGAAATTATGTGTTATGTAAGAATTATTATCTTTAAGGGGAGGAAAACACTTTGAAGCCACGCCTACAAAACAGGATCTTGGTACCTCTTACTGAGGGGTTCTTTTCGAAGTTTCTGACTGTTATACGGGAGTTCCCCTTTCTCCCCCTCTCCACGGAGTGCTGAGCCATGTGCTCCACCCTAATCCAAGTTTTGTGCGATGGTTAGGACAGATCGTTACATGGTGCGCAAACTTTCGCTTTTGGGGAACTTCACTGCTCGGCATAAAATCAGCTCGACTTCATCTTCAAGCTCGGTTAATTTATTAGTAAACTTATGATTGTTGATATCCTTATTGCAACGGAACAATTTCAGTTTTACACTTTCGTTAATGTTATAACCACAAACTCCACCAACAATAGCTTTTAAAAGAAC